TAGTACAGGGTTCCATGTTAGAGGAGGAAAAAATCAGTAATAATCATTGTCATGTCCTGAAGACGAACAGGGGTTGGTGGAGCGTGTTCAGAGGAAATATCATTCATGCTGCTTGTATTCTTTGGTCCTTTTCTAGGCACCTGATTTTGGCCACTGTTGGAAACAGGCAACTAAATAAACATTTATTCTGATTCAAGAGGGTTTACTTGTAGATTAAGAAATAGGACTGGAATGTCATACCTGAATAGTGTTAAAGCCATACTTTCAAACAGTTTGCTGAGATAACGGTTGAGATTGAGAAGTACTCCAGAAGAGATTCTGTAAAAGCAGAAAAAGTAATAATAACATAGGCCTTCATTTAGTGCTATATCAATTAAATCAATGTTTTTCTGGTAGAAGAATAAGAAACTACATTTCTTAAAAAACCTCAAAGATTTCTTCTTGGAGCAACAAGTCAGACATCCCAGGGAATTCCTCAAAATTTCGTTCTGCAGCTGGCCTTGTTCTCCTAGTCAGTTACTGTTGACAGAGCACTGCATCCCTGTGTAATCTAGGGTAACTGGTTTAAGGAGTCCATACTTTCCTATGTCATGATACATTAGCTTGTGTTTTTTCATTGCCGTATCACACCAGAGGAGATGCATTCTTTGATCCTTGTAATTTGAAGTCAGTATAGAGTGTCTTACTCAGGTTTTGGTAGTATGAATATTAAGTTTACTTAAGGAGCTGAAGAAGATTCGGTATAAACATGAGTAAGTACAAAGTATCAGAACTGCTTAATATCCAAGAGCTTTACTACTAGTGAAAATTAGGATTAATTGGTTCAAAATGTTTATTTTTTGAAATAATGATAAATATCATATGCTTTCTGAATCTGATATACATTGATTCTTGCAATTGTCATCATTGATTGTTGCATTGTCGTCATTGTTCACAAAGCTAATGAAGTTAAATTCAAATCAGTTACAACTCCTGGATGAGTTGATTATCTGGCTTGTGTAAATTGGCGTAACTCTGCTTACTTCGATAGAAATATGTTAAGGTGGAACTGTTGAAATTCTGTCACAATGTATCTGGTCTCCAGCTCATCAGCTTCAAATAGGATCTTTTTATAATATTTTAGATTGTTTAAAAACTTTTTCAGCCTTATACACCTAATGAAACTTATTACATTTGACGTATCAAATAAACTACTTGCTTTAACTGCTTTTAAAGTATATAATGCCATACTTAATTCAAAATTTAAACAAACCAAAGTAAGAGGCATCTCTTGACACTGCCTGCTGCATCTTTTAAATATGCCTTCAGTTCTGCTTAGCCTGATAGTTTGAGAGACAATTGCTAGTAAAGGTGTCTGAAGAAGAGAAAACTTTAATGACCTGTGGGGCGCAGCCTCAAGCTAACCATCAGCAGCATAACTACTTTGTGGTGTAAGTGCATTTCTAGCCTAATAAACAAGCGTGATGTAAGTTTTCATTACAGTTATAGAAAGTTAATTTACTTGTTGGAATTGTGGTCTTGAAATATTGTACGTAGTAAAGTTGTCAAATATGCACAATATGTAGGGAAGTGCAAACTTGAATTAATTCATAGATAGAATTAGTATGCATTGCACTTCAATGATTTGTCTTTGTTTTGTTTCTCTAATCAAAATTTCAGTTAATTTCAGCTTTGTTCTCTGCCTCCCCCACATTAGTTCCATTGTCTTGATTTGCATCATTTGTAGCAGCTGGCTTCCTGTCAGTCTGTAGCTTGGACCTTTACATCAAACAGCAAATTAATTACAGGAAAAGAAATCCCAATAGTACTTCTATGCTTAGAGGCTTTCACAGTTATCAAGAAGTGAATGTTGCTGATTCTGTCAGAAATGAGAAGTGGAACATGGGGAAGGGGGCAGCACATACTTTACAGGTATCAGTAGTTATCTCTAGAAGTATATGTCGGTTACCTTTACCTTCCGTTTCCTAGACCTTCCCCTCATTTATTGTAAAGTTAAATTAGGAAAAAAATGGCAATTAAGAAAAAAAAAAAAGTGCTGAGAAGCATATTTTTGTTAAAAGATGTATAACCTTACTGCATCTCAAGTGCAAAAGCGCTCTCTGGAGTTTGTTGGAAGACCTGCTTGCATCTGAAATGTTAGGTCCTTTTCCTTATACCGCATCTTAAAAACATAGCTAAAAATGCTTACTTGAATTTGTTCTGTCATTATTTATGAATTTATATTTTTCTTTCTCAAAAGAGAAATCAAGGGACCCTTTAAAAATCAAACAATACATAAAAAAAGCCCATGAGTATGTTGTCCAGAAGGTGCCAATAGAAACAGGTTTGAAGTGCGAGCAGTCAGTGTTTAGACCATCAACGTGCTTTTCAGACATCAGAAAGTAATTTAGTCTTCTGTCAAGTTGCTGCACTGTGTTAAATTCCTTTTTTTCCTAATGAGTGGCCAGAACAATAACATTGCTTCTGTATTTTGCTGCACTTCTGTTCTTTAAAAAAGCCACAACAACAAAATGCAGTATTCAAACAACACTGGTCACTGTGGTGGGGAAATAGGCAAAGATGAGCAGAGGCAGGGGAGTTGATATGTGGTATGAACATGAAGGAGATATGCTCTACTTACAGTGAAATACTCTATTGAAATGATGGGCTAATTTAGTCCAGTTTATTCCCTATGTTCCATTGCTTATTTCCCTTGTTTCTATGTTTTTCTTGAACAAATTGGTATTATTTCCTTGTCTGTCTTTTCAAGATACATATCATCTCTCACTTTCTGATGTTTTTTGCTGTCTTTAACTGATAGACTATCTCATGTAGTCTATCTTTTCAATAGTGCACAGATCACGAAAGAAGGTAATACTTTGCCCAGCTCTTAAGAGAATATTGAATTTGGTTAGATACAGTGTCTGTTTTGTAGCAATATCTTTCCTCATTTTCCGTACCGTATTGTTAGCACAGTTTAAGAGCTCAGTCCAGCATTACTCCAAGGTCATTTTCAAAGTCCCGCTGTGATTCTGATTCTTTTATATTTGTCTCTCCTTTTGAGCTGAATATGAAATTCAGTGGTTTAGCTTTGGAACAGGAAATTTAATTTACAACTTGTCAGTTCGTTTACAAAATGGATACTACTGTGAAGGATTCTCCTAAATATATATGCAGCCTTTCTCTTTTGTTCTCCGTTCATTTCTTTGTTTCCGTGAAGCATGGAAATACACAGAAATCACTTTGAAAATCTAAATCCGTAGCTGTCACTGCTGACCGTATCCTCTGGGCCTTGCAGGCAGCACAGGCTGTGCGAGACAGCAGATGGTGGCTGTGCATGCTGGGTATCCACCCAGCAAACAGCACTCGCCCTCTCTCGACATCCCTGCCCTTTGTCAGCCCACAAAACTCCAGCTTACTGACAAAACTTGAGTAACTGCTTGTACAAACGGTTAGCATCCTTTAAAAAAAAAAAAAAAAAAAAAAAAAACCCCCCCCCCCCCCAAAAAAAAAAAAACCACAACAGAAACCCTCTTAAATTTGATCATATCATATCATACATATTTCCAGGTACAGCACTTGTTGTCTCTGTTTTACGGTGAGTAGGTGTTCCGTGAAATCTCTGAAATTTGTTTGTGGTGAATCAGCTATCGTAGGCTTTCGAATGAGTGTTTAACTTTTGAGGTACTTAATGTGGTTTAGTCCTGTGTAAAATTAATAATCCATAGTGAAAGAGACAGCTAGGCAGCAGGTTATAGCATGAATTAGAACCATTAAGTCCATTTGGACTTGTATCAAACTATAATAATGACAGTATATAAAACGAGAAAACTTTGCATACATGAAAGTCATTCAAAATACTGAGTCTGAAATCAGGTGTTGCTTTGACATCTGAGACTTGCTTCGGAGATTCTACATAAGAGAAGCTAAGCTTTTTCTTATTTCATTACATTGCAACTTTTCCCCTGCAGTTCTTAATGAGTGTCATCTAAGTCTGAATAAAGCTATTCCTTGTCATAAAGTGAAGTCTATTCAGTAGTTGGGTGGGCTAAATAATCAGGATGAGACTGGCAAACTTGTGAAGCATTACTGCTGTAGAAAAACAAACTGAAAGATGGTGGTGTTTACACACGGTCAAAAGGACCTGAACCTGCAGGCACGCAGAGGAACCCAGTGCTCAGACATGCTTCATCCCAGCCTGAAATGTGTTTCTAGTGTTTGTGACAGCGTTATGTTTGGAAAAGGAGCTCCCCTTGCAAGGTGGCTAAATTGATGCCTACTGTTAGATCCCTGAATTGTCACACCCCTAAAGTCATTTGTTTTCAGTATCAAATACTGAATGCATCATCATTAAGTGTTGAGGTTTATTCTCTATAATCTAGTTTACTGCTTGAACTAGGATGTCTCTGAATTTTTTGAGGAAGTGAGGAACTAAGATTCAAGTCATCTTTTTTAATAGTTATTTTTACACCACTGGAAACAATAATGACAGTATTTATAGCTAGGATAAAAAGTAAAAAAAAAAGTGGTCAAAGTGAACTGGTCTTTTGATTGTTTGAAATTTAATTGACAAAATGGGAGATTTCTGCATCTGTGGTTATGTGAATAGTAGCTCTGATTTCTAAGTGGTCTAAAACAATGGATTGCTACTGCTGAAGTGATGGCTTTAGGTTTCGTAGTAACTCTAAAATGTGTATGCTGGTTGACTGAATTTCTGTTGCCCTAATCAAGGGATGGGAATGAGGAATTTTTAAGCATGGCATGCTAACATAGAGGTTATAATTCATTCACCATTTTATACTTCCCCTGGATCCCATGGATATTTTGCTTTGGGTTTCATTGGTCAAACAAACCTGTTAAAGTATGAAAGTTCTGAAAGACATTTTAATAATAAAATGACCAATTTATCTATGGAGTTTTATTCTTTGGAATTTAAAAATTGCAAAAAGGAAATGTACTTTAATATTTCTGTGGTATTTTTAGCACATGATTTCACAGATCCTTAATGTTTTTAAATACAGGTAACGAATTTGGACATCCAGAATGGCTTGACTTCCCCAGGAAAGGGAATAATGAGAGCTACCACTATGCCCGAAGACAGTTTAATCTTACTGAGGATCATCTTCTTCGCTATAGATTCCTAAATTCATTTGATAGAGATATGAATAAATTGGAGGAAAGATTTGGCTGGCTTGCATCTCCCCCGGTAAGCTGTATATAGTAAATTATAAGTTTTTAGTCACCAGTTGGGTACATGTTCAGAATAACAATACGAAATTTGCATGCAGAAATTTTAAACAGCACTTTATTATGCACTTCATAATGCCCCACCATATATTTCAAGTTGTCAAAACATGTCACTGAAATATCTTCCACAGATAATAGAAATCTGAAACAGTCTCCTTTTAGCTTCATAGCAAGCTCTTTTCCTGTTATTTTTGCTATTTTTATTTAGTAACTGCAGATTGGATAAAGCAAACTATAAAAATTGTCTGTAATCCAATCCGAGGATTGCTTTGGGAAAGTGTAAATTGTTCTGACAATTTCCTTTATATAAATAATTACTCTGTTACTGAGAAAACACTTTCAGTACAGTATAGTGTAAGTTACAGTCTCCCGGTCTTCAACCTGTCACTTTTGTATTTGCCTTTTTTACCTAAACATTGCACTGTATTCTGTATCAAAGCAACTCAATTATTATAATTTCTCAGTGTTTAATTAATTTGTACTAACCATAATCCACTTTAAAGAATTTTTTTAAATTGATGTCTAGTTATTTATTAATGGTATTAGCAAGTAGAACAGAGATGGTATGTGCAGCAGTTTAATGTGGCTTATCAAAGCTATTTGTCACACAGATTTAAAAAAAATAAACCAAACATACCCAGTGCTTCATTTTCTAAATTACTAACAGTAGATGTGATGCTGATCCCCATAGCAAGTAGATTGAAGATTTGATTTGAGAGAAGGAATACATTTTTTGCTAAAGGAAAATGTCATAAAAAGACTGTTACCAATCTTTGAGCAAGAATTTTTCAAGTGCTTTAAACCTAACATGCTTCTACCTCTTCAATTTTACCTTGTCTTACAAAAAGTAAACTACAGTTTAATAATCAAAAATTTTATGACATTATGTAGGTAAACAATTTCAGATTGCATGTTAATGCCCTGATCTGTGTCACTTGAATCTTTGACTGTTTTACTTGAAGTATAGAGTCAGTGAGGGGGTATTTTGTTAATTCACACAGAAATTAAGTATTAAATAGTGTTGGATTTTTATTTTTTTCTTTCATAGGCCTATGTGAGTGAAAAGCATGAATCCAATAAGGTCATAGCATTTGAGAGAGCAGGTCTCATTTTTGTCTTCAACTTCCATCCATATCAAAGTTATGTGGACTACAGAGTGGGTATTGAAATTCCAGGAAAATATCCTTTACTTTACAGTTTTGCTTGTACAGAAAAGCTTTAGTAGTTGAAAACTAATTTTATTTTTGTTTTCTAGTATGAATGCAGACTGTAGTTAAGCACTAAGAAACCACTTATTTGTCATCAGGATAATCTTGCTTTAATTCTTAGTGTACAGCAAAAAAACGTAGAAATTTGCCTTCTTCATAAGAGACTGTTTTGTAGAACACAAAAGTAAAAATAGTAATTTAAAGATTACATGTTAAAGTTTCCTTGTGGTGCGTTGTTTTTGTGGATTATGTTAAGGCATGAAAAAGCAAGTAACTCCTACGTATTAAGTAAGCTGCAGAAAGTGACCCCAGTAAGATGAGGCTGTGCGTGCAGTCACACGGGAAAACCCATTAGCTTAAACGTTCATCAGGGAGGTTGTACAACTTCTGGTTTAGAATTACGAGGACTGAGAAAGTGCTCTTAGCTCAGCTGAGAAGCAATAAATGGTTAGTCTTGAGTAATTGACTGGGTTTGCCTTTGTGTCCAATTTCTTAGCAGTGAGAGAGATTCAAAAAATTAACTCTAACTTGCTGGAGGAATTTAGTTTGCCCAAATTCAGTTTCTTTAAAGTGCCTTGACAAACAGTTTAGTGAATCTTGCTGTGTCAGTTTAAAGTGCTGCAATTCCAACCTTTTGACCTATTCTCTTTTTATTTATTAGCAACTTCAGGAAACTACTGCCATATTTCAGTTGTGTTAGTTGAGTGTAGCACCTTATTACTCTTAACTCCTGAGCACCACTGACCTGACCTGCAGGGTCTCAGGCCTTACCAGGATTCTGGTTTAGAAACATCAGGTCAAACCCACCTTCTTCAGCACTTTCTTCTGCTACCTCTTCGCTGCTGCTAGAACTCCTGGAAAAGGTAGAACGCAGTAGTAATCTGTAGTAAAATCTTAATCTGGTGTTGTGAGATATACCAATACTTGACTCATAGGCTTCAGGTATCCACACATTTAAGTTGATGCTACTGCACTTCTCTCTTATATGAAATGCTTTGAGTTCTACAGATGGAAGAGGTGTAATTTCAGTGTTAAGGACCACATCACATAACAGAATGAGTGTGATTTTTTGCTCTGATGCTTATAGAAATACAGTTAAATCCAAATCACATTTTGGTGTTCACTTTCTGCCTTTCTTTTTCAAGGATGCTAGAGGTTCAATTGTCAGAAATACTTAAGAAATTTTTTTTTAAAATCCCACTCTTTAACTTTTATGTCACTTATTTTTTTCTCTTTTCCATAACCTGTCTTCATCAGACTTGTATTTAATTACAATTATGTATGAATCTGTTTTCCTGATTTCATTTTCTGGTTTATGATAACTGATTTAAATAACTAGGCATTGTTGTTATGGGTGTGTAAATGCCTTGCACACATTGTTACAAAAATTCTACTCCTTGGTGCTTACAGCTAAAATGGGACTAATCTGTGCTCAGGCACTTCCAAAACTATTTGGGCTTGCTTTATGTTTATAGAAATATTTTATGACCAGTCTGTTGACTAAATAGGTTTAATATAAGCAGCCTTTTGGTTTTTATCAGTGTTCTGAATTTTTCAGTCATTTCAAAAACATTTCATGTATCTATTTTACAGCACCAGAATCTCCTTTCTCCTTATAAATTAGGCATTTACTGTTTGTATAGAATCCTGAATGTGTTGCAGCTGAGGCTGCTCTATAGTAGCTCTTCTAAAACAAAAAGTGAAATTTGCTTTTCGCTGAGTTTACTTTGCAAATCAAGGCCTAGTTGGGTTTCAGTAAGCTGTCTGTTGCTAGTTCACTCTGGACATTGAAGTAGCTCTCTACTGCATCTTGGCCAGAAACAGAGTCATTGCTAATTGATTTTTTTTTTTTAATTGTAAGCAGAAACTCATTGGAAAATGTTTGCTATTCAGTTGTAGATTTTGAGGGTTTTTTTCCTACATCCTTTATCTTTATTTTGGTTCACTGGAAGATCATACTGAAACTTAATAACAGCTCAAGTGTGTTCAAAACAAGTATGATAGAAACAAGGCATACAGGTGATATTTCATATTTGCAGTTTATGTCATATTTTTTGATATGTTATTGTCTGTACACCTCGTCTCTTAAGTGTGTGCAGTATAATTTTATTTACATCCTATATTATAGTTTAAATTTGAAAGGCCTTCGTTAAAGCATAAATGTCTATGTTAGCTTTTCATTCACTAGCCTAAAGTTTTTATTGCTAATGGAGCTGCCAGTTTCCAACAGTGTATTTTCTTTTGTTAAGGTACTCTGTCTGACTAACCTTTCCTGCCCCAAGCAAACAGTGGATTTTGTTGGTTCTCTCTCCTCAGTGTGTGATTGTGCTCTGCTGCCTTCAGTGGGGGTGGAGGGCTCTGAATGCTGCTGCTGCTCTTACTCCTCTGTGAAATGTAGTATGCATCTTCACCTCTGAGAGGAAGTAGTTCTCTTAATTTAGTGATCTCACTCGGGAATCTCAAATACAGAATATTCCCAAAAATCACCTTTTCAACAATCTTCTGCTATTCCTTTTATTCTGTGGCACTTCATCCATAAAAATCTTACTTCTATTTAGTGCCTGTTGCTAGTAAAGTCCTTGGACAGTAAGTTGTCCCTACACATCTTGAACATACTTAATTTTTTCGTTTCTGTTCTGTCTAGGAGAAAGCTAAGCAGTACTGTATCTACCAATTGCATTCTCAGTATCTTTTCATTGATAATGGAAGACAGAACCCCTCCATTATCCCATTCCTCTGTGTAAAAGTTTGCTTTTAACCCAAAGAAAGCCATGGAGCTGTGGAACTGCCATCAAGTGCATTAGAGAACTGCTGAAATCTTAATACTAGCTGGTGTGCAATGCGCTTTCATGCTCAACATCATAGTTGCTTATTTTCAGGAAACCTCATCTCAGCTAAAGTAGACATACCTAATACTTTGACATTAGAACTGAGAAGATGCAGATAGTCACTGAAATGCTTCTCTGAAACTGAGCTCAAAAGCAGAATCATGTTACAGCAGTTCCTTAAGCATCCTCTACTTAGCTGAGGAGTGATAATTAACTGTATGAATAGTCAATATTACCCTGCTATTCTTCTTGCTTTCAGCATCCTTTCTTCTTCCCTGCCAACATCCAGCAGGCTGATTTTTAGTATCTATTTTCTTTAAATATGTTGGTGTGTTTTAATGTTGACTAGCTTTCTTTCTAACTCTTGTTCTGCAATTAGAACCATTAATTTTGTGCATAGTTTTGTAATGGAACCTTTTAACCTCTGATTTTTAAAAAAGTGTGTCCTATAACTAGGAAATGTGGTCACATGTGACATTAAATATTCAAAATAACTTATTTACTTTAAAAGGAATTCTTTATGATCCCTTTGGAACTTAAACATGAAGCAGAAGTCCTTAAAACCAAGAGTTTGTTGTTATTCTGTTTGGGTTTTTTTAGAAATTGGTGAGTGTTCAATTTCATACTCTGAGGCAGTTACTGAATAAGCCTGAGGAGCAAATTCCTATAATATATGAAATTATTTTTAATACAAAGTTTATCTGAATGATATTAGGAATTGTGGGAAATGTGATGATCCTTTCACTACCTAGGTTTAAGTTTGTTTAATGAATTGGTCAGATCAGTGCATGTAACATTTGTCATTAAATTTGCCTTTATTTAGTGGATGGCTTTGACCTATCAGTATATTGTAGTAATATATGTCACTAAGCTGTTGTCATTTATAGTTTCTCAGTTATGTTACCAGGCATGTTAAAACATAAAGAGCTTCTTGCCTCTCTGGCCTACATTTTTGTAGGTGTTCCTCTGTTCTGATCTCATAGAAAATGTCATTCTTATTTCAGCGGCTGTTGGCACAGCAAACCTTATTTTACTTTTATAAGAGAAGTGGTAGTCAGTAGGCATTAGAGTCCTTCTGGTTCCACTTGATTTGGAAAGTCTTTTGCTGAACAGTCAGACAGTCAAACAGCTATATGAAGAGTCACAGCCGGCTCGGAGTCAGTTTTTCCTTCCCTGTTATACTGCAGTCTTCTCTCTTGATTTGTCTCCCTTGACACTGGGTTGATCCATTCTATTTCTTGTTCTCCCAAGATGATGTACCCCAGTGTGAGACATCAAAGGACTAAGACCTTAATTTCATATATGAGCATGGAAGTCCATAAACATTGTTGAGCAATATGAAACGCTACTGGCTTACCTCTGTTTGTATCTTGACATTTCATGTTGTCATATGCTGATAAAGTGCAAGCAGTAAAAAATGTCATAGGAAGAAATGGTTACTTTGTTACAGATATTGCCATTTTTACATGGCATAACATATCAAAGTATTGTAATGCCAGAGTGAATGAATACCAGTAGTACACTTATTGTTGGCATGAATTTAGGGTGAATAAATACATTTAAAGTCAGGGTTGTCCATAAGCGAATAGCTAGATGAGACCTGAGTTGTCACAAATACTATAATCAAAATGCTACAAAAATATACTTTAAAAAAAAAAAAATCAATTTGGGCTCTCTGACGTTTGCAGCCGGCACCTAGAGTTTCTCATGAGCAAATAAGGTCACTTGAATGATTCATTGGCGTGCGATTGCCAAAGGCAAAGATGCTGCTTTGCAGGCTGCTTTGAAGTGTGGTTATGTAACTGTCCCTGCCTGTTAGAATTCAGGGGGTATCCGGCACATGGAGGCAAAGGACTTAATTTATGATTAGCCAAATTCCAAATTCTGTCAAGGTATTTGATACGTTATGGTTAATAGGTGTGAATAAGAAATATAGAGCACTAATGTGGGAATGCATCTTTGATCTGTGTAGGAAAAGACACGTTTCCAGCACCATGAGTCTGTGTAACTATTAGAGCCACATATGCTATTGCCCAATTTCTGTTTCATTATATGAAGGAAAAAGGAAAACATTTCTGTGCTCATGCTGGAGTTTTACTTCATAAATTATGCTCTTTCAGAAGTCTCTTCATGAGAAACAGGCAGCTTGAGCTAACAATTATTTCTGCC